AAAAGGTTTCGCCTTAAGGCATTAGCGCATTTTCCATGAATTGATTAGTACTTCTTGAAAGGTCATGTAACGGCCTGTTTATGTGTACGCAGAAAAATAAGTAATGGCATAAATATTCTTATAAATAAAAACCATACCATTGCGCATGCCAGGGCGCATGCGCACACCTGATGTTAAAACATGCGACATGTTTACTTTTACTAGAAGCATCTGTGGTTAAAGTTTCAATTTTTCAAAATATATGTTTATAAATAAAAAAGTTGACATTGTGCAGTTCTGCGCATGCGCACACCAATCGTCAAGGTTTTTGTTGGTTGAGGTGCCAGAGCTATAAGCTACCCAAGGCAAAAAGAACGAATTAAATATTTTGAAAACTGTAAGAGTAATTAAGGCCTCGGACGGACGGGTAGACAGAGAAGTGGCCATAATAGCACCTTCCAACATGGTTTGGGAAATGCGCTAAAAAGAACCACTTTTTTTATTTCTGTAAGTAATTAGGAAAAAACTAAGTCCCTTTAAACAATGAAACATTTTCAAAATCTATTCCAATTGAGCATCCGTTGGAGCCTTCAAATGTATTAAAACGTAGTATATCCTATCTTTACTCATCTAAAAATAAATTATTGGCATGCATTACGCGCTTATAGTTGTTTTTTTATGTTGCATGAAACATAAAAAGGATTTCCCCCGAAGAGAGGAAGTTATTGGCATGGGGACGATTTAATCTATTTAACTGCTATTGTTTTATAGAAAGGAAATAAAATTTAGTTTCATTTTAATCAAAAAGCGTGTACGGTTTCTTTCCTAGTTCATTAGGTATAAAACCAAAGTATCCGGTCTATATAATATTAAAGGTACTCATAATATAAAATCCCCATTTAATTGTAATAGCATTTGTCTTTTCCTGCAACTAAAAGCTTCAATCAAGTAGGTTGGTCCTTTGTGGGAGCAACCGCGCAATACGATATTGATCATCACCTAGTCCAGGAACTAGCAAATTTTTTACTCTGTATCAAAAAGTTGTAATTGATTGGTACACAATTCTTGAGTTGGTTCACATTAGCGTATGCGTATATAAGTCATCCCTTAAAAAATCGGAAAATTTTTAAATACAATTAACTTTTTAGGCCCAAGTTGCTGTCATTTTAACAAGACCCTCATTTTCAAAATGAAATATTTCGACAACTTTACAAAAACGCTGTAAACTTTGTGTTGTGTCCGTAAATAAGTAACAATGCTGTGTATAATTATATATTTAATTGCTTGATGGTAAAAGATCGTTCCTGCATTAAGGAAATGTATTTTGCCGTTTCCCGAGTAAATTGCGCAATGAATGAAACTTCTGCTCAAATTTTGACATGATTTATCAAATTCAGTTTCAAAAATTGGTTCTTAATTTTCTTCACGTATCCACAATCTAACACGGCATCATCAAGATGTTTACACCTTTGCAGTGCTGAGATCTTGTCCATCACATGAACGGACTACGGAAAAACGCTTGCTATTACCTAATTTTCATTTTATTTTAATACGCTGAAAACGCTACCTCAAGATGATGCCTGATTCAAGGCAATAACAGCATGTTCTGTGGACGTGCATCCTTTGTTTTCTTATTACATGGTCTTTCTACGATCTGGACTGCCATCCCTCGTTCAATGTTCAATGAAATCTACAAAAGTTATTGTCCCAAACTCAAGGGAGGAAGACCTTTGTACAGGGTGTAGCACCTAAGACCCCTCGGATCATAATTCCTTTACCATGAAAGATACCGAAAAAAGTCCTAGAACAAAATTGTACACATTTACCGTCACCATATTTCTAAAATACTTTGATCACCAGGGGCGTGCTGTATTCCAGCGGCGTATCAAACTTGCGGTTTTTAAATGGAACAGCTCATATTTTATTACTGATTTGGAAAGTACTTGAAAAATACTTATTTTTTTATGACATTTATACCACGAACTTTAACGATTTCGCTGTTATAACCTTTTTTCGTCAAAATTTGACATTTTTACGAAATTTTTTTTAAGAGAAACTAAATCGCGCAGGGGAAGTTTTGGACTCAGGTACAGGTTAAGACCTCTTGCACAGTCACATAATTTTTTTAGGTACTTTATCAAAAAAATTAAATTCTTGATTGGCGTGCTCCTTTTACACCATTGAACCGATGTGGGGGATATAGGGTTCATTTGAAAGGGCTTTGTCAAAGAATTCCGTGCATACCGATATTTTTTGGTTTTGTGCATGCGCAGTGTCAAAAATTTGGATTAACGCATGTGCAATGCTAACTTTTTTATTTATGAAGATATTTAAAAGAAACTTTATATGTAAACACTACGAATATAAGTCAAATTAACGACGTTTTCAAAATGTTGTTTTGCGCATGCGCAATGGCAACTTAATTTAATAACGTGTGATATTATCATCCCGTCAAACCGCATCCGTTTTAGCGGGAGCGGTAAAAACGTATAGTGTGACACCACACTTTCCCAGCGAGAATTTTTCAATGTACGTACTCGTACATTGTTTTTATTGAATGACAACCACATGACAACGTATTTTCTTGATCTGACGCGTCTATCACAAATTTTCAAGAAACTCGTAAAATGGATCGCAACCGTTTTAGTGAATCATCAGTTGATGAAATTCATTGTAAGGAAATGTAAGTGCATTAAAGAATATGTACCCTAATAAGCAACGCGTCTGTTTGGAAACAATTCCAATTATTTTGCGACCAGTTGAGGGGATATAAATTGGAAGAAAAAACATCAACCGCAAAACTAGTCATTATTTTGAAGGACTAATGGGTTCAATATGCGAAGAAACAGAATGGAGAAGACTATAAAGAAAATCTTAAAAGTGATTTTGATTGTAACGTGACACGAGAGTTCGATAAATTAGATAATAATTCTCCAGGTCTTTTCTTAAACTTGTTGCCAACTGCCTGGCAACAAGTTTTCTAAAACCTGTCGAATTATTTTCAATTTATTCTCACTCTCTTGTGATATTATTACAGAATATACGCTCTCGTCATTTGTTTGCATAAGGACTTTTTAACTTCTTTCCATTAGGAAATGAAAATTATAGCTTATACGTGAAAAATTCCATTACACTTTTTAAGCACATAATGGTCTATAACCTAAAAATACATTAATAACAAAGCTATAAACATCGAAAGAAATACAAAAAATCGTTTTTACGGGATATTAGTTAGGTGTAGTACATCTTTTCCAAAAAATAAAAAGGGAATTTAGCTTAGCTCGTAAAACTGCAATTCTTTCCCCATTTAACGGTTTTTCTATATTGGCGGAATCGCAATCTTGTGTCTTTAAATCCACCTTGAGAAATGAGATCGTACATTGCAAGTTACGCGAGACATAGTAGTTATTAACAGCCGTCTAAAATGTACATGGAATTAGAAACTTTCCAAAGGCAAATCAGTATGAACGCTTGCAGCTTATAATTGGTTCTGATGCTGAATTGTCTCAGTAATATACAATGAGGAGCTAAAAGTGTACAAGTTTTTGTTTAAAATAAATTGCGCTATAAAATGTATACGTTTGACGTTTTTTCCTTAACAATTCAGATATCAAATAATGTAAGAGTGCGAAGATGACTAGAGGAACCTAAAAGCTTCAAGTCATTCAAACTTTTGCCTTACGTGTGTTTTCTCTCAACAATTTATTAAGAAATGGAATGACAAATAAAATATAAATTGAAAAAGTTTGTCGCTCTCATCTATAATTTTATACAAAGTCGTATTTAGTTTACACGAACATACCTATACCTGAAAAGTTTATCGAGTAGTTAACTTTTTCTTGTAAAGTGTGATTGGCCTATAGTACTGTCGGTTACGCAAGTACATGCTGTCAGTAGGTACTCTTTTAACTAATACCTGTTTCGTAATTTAAACCGATCATTCGCCTTTAGATTCAATTCATTAACGCTGTTAACCTACTAATTCGCATAGATTGTCATTATATCCGGCAGTTTCGTTACGGAATTAATTCGGTTTATGTGGCGAATCTTACAAACCCCATTTCCGTTTTACACGGAATTAAATCTCAAATTGGCTTGATGAGATCACATTTAGTTGGGTTATATTTATAATCTGCGATTGCAGGAAGATCAAGCGCGCACTTAAAATTTCGACCCTTTAAGGGCGAAATCTCTAGAGCGACGTCATAAACTTGGAAGTATTGTAAATTTACTGTAGGTTAAAGCTTACTCAGTGGAGTAGTTCATTGCAGCTTTTGGCTGCTAAGAATGCGACCCTAGAAAGTGAAAGAATTTACCTTCTTTAGAATCCAATGTTCGCCATTGTATCAAAATTCGTTTCTATTGTATATTTTGTTTTTTTTTTGGGAAATCTAGAGCAAAAGAGCTTGATCGTGATATCTGAGTATCTGAAAAATTAAAGAGATATAGTTTAAATAACAAAGGCGATACGGAGACTGAAGTAAAAATGAAAAACTATCTTGAAGAGAGTCGTCCTATTAATAGTAAGTCACGTTTGTTAAGTACTTTCTAGAGGTGCTAGCCTAGTAATATTAGATACTGACTGACTGTTACTACTATTAGTAATAAAAATATTAGCTGATTGCGCCCGCCAATAGAATGGTGTCACATCAGGTGATTGCGCCGACTACAAAATACTATATGCATTTAAGAGTAGGTAATGCCATTTATAATGTGCTCTGTAGCGAACGATGGATTGCCATACTACCGTCGAGCGTGCCCTCGATCGTAAAACAATCTAGTGTAATCAAGCTCAAGCATTCAAGGCGGGAGCGACCAAAACGCTGTCTCTCCGACTCTGTACAAACCTTACCACATTTCTTTTTAAATTATGCCATATGTTTTAATTTACCTATACAGCAATCCGAAACCCATTTATTTATGGGGTACGTAAGTTTGAATTAATTAGTTTTTAGTCTCATATAGAAATTGTAGTTTTTGGATGTATCTTTCGTTTAACGAGCATTAACTAGTCCTATCGATGAACTGCTGTTCTCTTATGAAATGCTAAAACGAGTTCACCAACTTATGATTGATATGTTCTGCTTAGCTGGAGCTCATCTAACACATGGTATTTCAGATCAGACGGTCTGCAATGCAACGTGCGAAATATCGCAGCAGCTTCCAAAGTGCAGGTAATCTGCAATTGCCTGTGTCGTGTTTTCCATTTTTCCAATTGATTACAGGAAATATAGAAGTTGCTAATGTCCGATCACCTGTAAAGTGTCTTTTAATTCATCTTTTGCCTTTGTAGTCGTTATTTGTAAATGAGATTAGATTAAGTTATACCTTATAACCAATTTGCCAAGACAAAAGTTTTTATACCGGCCAGTGCCTGAGGATTCACAAAGCTGGCATTCTTATTTTATTTTTAGTTTGTATTTTCATTTACTTCTTGGCGTAACTTGGGTAGCTGACTCGTTTCTCCTGGCTAGCCGTGGCCAAGTACCTTTTCCTTCTCGAGGTTCTCTGCAAATTTCACATAATCAGAGATTCACATTTCGTATTAAATGGGACATCGGATGTCAATTTCACTATGTAAATTTTAAAAGTCAAAATAAATCTTGTTTACTATGCTCTAGTCATCTCCATAATTTTGAAAGGAAAACAGTGCAACAACCTCTATAAAAGATTCCATGTTTTATTCTAGATACAAAAATGCTTGATAATCCTCTTTACATATTAAGGCTAGTTTATGAACAATTTAATATTACAGCTTTAAAATTTTTAAGTTTCTGTTATAGTGTAACTTGTGTAAATCGCATTTATGGTGACATTTAAAATTTGTCACTTAAGATCATGTTGAAAGATAATTCGTGAAATCTTAAAGCTATTGAGATAAATATAATAGGTGTTGTGTGGTCATTGTCAAAGGACCATGCCCAATTTAATTCCGAGCAACTGGCGGGAGGCAAGTTTTAGTGGGCAGGGTCCTTTGAACTATTTACAGCACCGTTTTATCTTCTAGATTTGTTTATAACACTAGCTTATTTTATCCGAATTTGCCTTTTATTAATTTTTATTTACTATGCGATCAAAAATGAGTGGCTTCAAGTCACTTTTGGAATTTTTGTTTACATGGGAAATCGTACTTAACTTGAACTTCCAAAGACGACTCGACAGCCACTCCTTTTTGATTATCCGTTATTTATGAGAGCAAAATGTTTCTCAACGCTGGCGTAGGCACAAAATTAGGTACGAAAAATGAAGCAGCGTACCTACTTTAAATAGTATATTTATTGACGATGTGCTTTATAAAGAGGAATGAATTTAGATAACTTAAGAATCCAGTTTAATTGAACGTTAGAAACTGTTTAAAATGTCTTAGATGTTAAGTTTGCATAAACCAGTTGTGAGAAATAAATACATCTACAGCTAGATGTAGAAGTTTCATCCATAAAGTAGGCTTTAGAGTGTGGTAGAATGCGTTACCGACGCAATCAAGTAAGTGTTAGCTATTTACTTTTTAGGGGAATTTTTCGAACGAAGTCCCCTTTTGTGATGGTGTTGTCCGCTCGTCGGTTCCTTGTATAACTCGTGAATGAAAAGAGACAGCGATGTCAAACCTTCGTCAATCTATTTCTACGAGTTCAAAGATTAGTGCTATTGAATATGAGCCGGATTAAAAGTTGGGATTCCGAATTCGAGCTAAGTGTCAAAAAATTCTCCTATACTGAAAATCGTACGCGATTCTTCGTATCTTTTTTTAGTTATAGTATGGGTTGAGTACTCTCAATGTACACTTATTATTTATGCTATTTATACGCTTTTAAATGATATATGTTACAAAAACAGTTTGCAAAATTCGTAGGTTTTCCATTTTCGAATTTTGGAATTTAAAATTATCAGCACACAAAATTGCAAAAAATTTCTCATTTAACGTAATCTTTATTTTGAGTAATGACGAAGTTACTCGCGCGTTGTGTACCAACTATTCCCTCGTGGTGCAATGAATTTTAAAGTACAGATTTTTTTTGTACGTTTTTAACTCTGGGACGTTCATTCAGACGAAGCGCTAGCTGAGGGCTAACAAAAAAGTTTTGCAGATAATCTAACTTTGTTTTCCAAACATTCCTAGAGTGGGATTTAAAATTAGTTGCTGACAGCATAAATCGTGATTTAAATTAAACGCGGTGGCTTATACCCGGTAAAATGTTCAATCCAATAAGCACATAAATGATAATAAAATCAAGGCTCGAAAAATAAAACGTATAATATAAACGAAGTTTCTATAAACATTCGCTGTGGCTTCCGCTAACATTCGGTTAACGTTCAGATTTCTTTTGCTTTCGGTTTATTTGCATCATAAATTATATTTTTAATCTTAACGCAATGACGGATCAATTGTAGTTTAGCAATGAAATTCAATAAAAATCTATTGACAAATATAATAATGGACTAAAAGTGTAATTTTTAATCATTTGGTACTGTTTAACCTAAATTTGGTTCCAATGTAATGTTAAGTTGTTGACACACATAACACCCTCCCCCTAATTAATGTTGGTCTTTACTTCTCCATTTGAATAAATCATTCACTCTATTTAAAATCGTCAATTAATTAACCTAGGTTATAATTAAATTCAGTCAGAGTTTAAAGACGGGAATCGATTACATTCGTAAATGAATGGTTCATTTCCTGATATTTTAAATAGGCGGGTTTGATTTAATTGAATGAGGCTTTCAGGGTTAAGTTAAATAGTTCATTAAAATGTAAAGGCATTTATTAAATGCTACCTATACATATACGTTGTTAATTATTATTTTATACGAAATTCCCCGTACTTCAGTTTAATTTGTGGAAAATTTGTCCGATAGGTATTTTCGCACAATGCTACTCAATACAATATCTACCCTATAAAAAAAATTATCAAAGTCCTCGTGTGAAATCGAAGGGACTTCAGCGCATTTTTGTGTGGCAGATCAGTATTCTATTAGCCACTTTCGACTCAACCATCAATAATAGATCTTGTCGAAGGCGACTACATTCACTAACCGTTTCCCACTTTCCGCGTGCACCCGCAATTCGCTTTTAAAGTTAAAATCGTGTCGGGGGCTACCACATTCCCTTTGACGGTAGCCACTTCCGACGTCCCGTTCACCTACCCGCAATTCGCTTCTATTGGCGACACGAGAAAGAGAGACAGCGATTCGAGATTTACGAAACGTTAAACCGCGTGAGTTCGCAACGGAAGGTAAAAGGCGCCCGAAGTTGACTACTTCTCGAAGACGCGCGCGCGATTCGCAAAAGGTCGTTAATTTCGCCCCTAGGACAAAAAACAAAATTCCGCCACGCAGGAGTTGTGCGCGTTTACAACATCTTTCCGACGACACAAATTTGAAAAGAATCGGACCAAAACTGTAGTAGAAGATAGGAAAAAACTGAAAAACCTTCACGTTAGTATACTACGCTCGAGGATGACGCCCAGATGTCGCCAACCCCACATCATGTAGCCATGTCCCTAAGGTTAACAAATTTCACGGCCTTGTAGATACACGTACACCTGTTGCTTTTCTACAAGAGTTCTTCTACGCGCCCACATTTGCAGCCAGCCAGCCAGCCAGCCAGCCAAAGTGAGATTAAAAGCTACTTTTTACAAATAAATTTGCAAAAATGCGCTAATAAAGTTGTTGATGATTTCTCCGAAACGAAACGTTGAAAATCTCTTAACGGTGTCTCAAAAAGTGTTTCTGTATCTGCTCAAATAACATAAGAGAAAAACAAAATCGAAATCGGCAAATTTCGGTTTTTCTGCCCTATCTTCGGAAGTAATCGAAATTTTCTGGCACGATAATAACTGCTTAATTGCGCAACTTTTGCTTAAATTGTCCATCTTCGTAGGTACCTTCTATGGTTTACGAGACCCCCATAATAGACATCCTTATCTTGGACAGAGTGTGTAATATACGGTACAGGTACAGTTTTTCTTTAAATTTAAAAAAAGAGAAAAAAAAAACGAAATGCAGTAGTGAATAGACAATACCCATTGAAACTGAATATTGTATAAGGCCCCATTGGCATGGCATGGGCCCGTGCCCCAGTATCTTACTTCGAGGAATTCAACTTGCTGAAAAATCTGAGGATTCACTCCAGCTACAACTGCCTGGCTCGCTAAAATGTTATTGCAGCGTGACCCAGGTCTTGTAATTTTTGTCCGGTGACAGCCTCACACCAGTAGATGATGTGCTCCGCTGTCTCTTCCTTCTTATATGTATTGTGGTTTCTGTTATGTGTTACAATAAGCGCTTCATAGGATAAGAGTTAGAGGAATTTTCAATAATTTACAAAAATTTAAAATTGTATGAAAATCAAAACCACACTAAAGGTAAAATAGCGGGTGTTTTTTATAAAATAAATTGAATGAATGTCTCTTCTTTCTCGAATCAGAGGCGACATGTGTTGTCCTCAGCTGCCCCGATTTTGTTGAGATGGTATCTCAGGAGGCATGTTTCCAGTGACTAGGTATATTTATTATTATCTCTCTCTCTTGTACTGGGCCCTCAACAGGCTTGCGCCTTACCTTACAAATACCGGAGTAGTATAGAACAACTAAAGACCTTCTGCAGAGGCACCTCTAAAAAGCATTATGCGGGTCATTCTGTAATTGGGCGCAAGCCTGAGGGCCCAGAACAATGTTTATGTATGACCTTAGTTCATTTCTGCTGAGTGCTCCTAGTCTCCTGGACTTGGATTGTCTTATAGGGAAGATTCCTCTGTACGTTTCCACTCTTTTTATGATCTGGCTTCTTATCAGTCCTCCAGCTAGACTTGGTGTGCTCCACAGTAGGGTTCCGTTTTAATTTGAGGTTGTTGATGTGCCGGCCTTAGCGAAGCGATCCACCTCCTCGTTACCGGCTCTCCCCTCATGGCTTGGCTTGGCATCCACACCAACGTAACACGATTCGTCCGGATATTTCTTCCAGTTTTGTGTGACATTCCATAAGCAGCTTGGAAGGAAATGTTTAATTGATGTATAAAGTGTTTGCACCTTTGTGTATTCCTCCCACGCCCACCTTACTTCGGAGCAATCTAATTACTCCCTTCGCTGCTTCCTTCTTCACCACTAAGTGAAGAGGGAGGAGGCTCAGTAAGACCTCCATATGGCAGCTGTGGGTGGAGTATTCACTGCTCCAGTAATACTCTTTGGACCACCATACCACCGCAAGATAGGTCAAAATAGTAGTGTATAACACATGGCGGGGGGCTACAAAGGGGTGGTAAATCGTACTAAACTATACCTTTTTCTCCCGGATCAAAATGACCTATATGACAAATGTAGCTTGCGATTATACGAATATAAAAAACCAACGGTGCTGACTCTCAGGATGCCGGAAATCCTCGGTACCGTGGATGGAATCCGGGCGCGCGCGAGCCTATTGGCACTGCGCCAATAAAAGGAGCGTAAATTTACTTTGTTTTTCCGGACCAAAAAGTCCTGAATGAAAAATGTAGCTTGAGAGTACACAAATTATAAGAAATCCGAGGGCGCGCAAGAGCCTTCTTTTCGTATCCGATCACTTTTGTGACTGCGAGAAAAACGATTTAAGTTCATTTTCTCAAACTTTTAACGATACAGATTTGAATGAGTACAAATAGAGTTATGCCGTTATTTCGGTCACTTAAGAGACTCATTCTTTTATAGGCTGAACCACTTCTTTGTTCAAAAAACCAAAAAAAGAACCGACAAAATCGTTTTTAATTCTTAAACATTAATTATTTGAAAAGTAAAACACTTGACTTGTGTGGTTATGCCTGAAAGCAACCCAAAAAAAGTAGAAATGATCGAAGTTGACTCGAAATGATTCTTGTGTCACAAATGCTTTTTAGAAATCATTTTATTGTAATTCAATCAGAATTAAACTCATAACTGTCCTGAGAGTCATCTAAATCATTTTCTTCCACATCGGTGTCTAGTTCCGAGGTTTCAGGACGGTTGTTTTTCAAAATTATCATCGACGCTCAAAAGAGTAGGATAGCCCTCGAACCAAAAGGGTTCTAAAATATCTTTCATTTCCCAGCCACATTTCGTAGGATCGAGGGTGATACATTGTTTTTCTGCCGCATTTTTCCACATAGCAGTAACAAAAATTGTTCGGAGAATCTTTTGCTTTAATGATTTCAAAGCGAAATCTTCCGTTAATTCATATAGGTTTTACCAATTTAACAAATCGCTGCAAAAGCAAAAATCAAGGCCCGAATTATCATCACCAAGGTGAGTATTTGAGTAGCTGCTCAGCATTACTCACGATTATTCTACCAAATTCAGATATGGCTGGTAGTAAGTAGTAACAAAAATACACTTCCCAATTTTCTCGTCTATTTTGGACAATTTGCCTGTACTACAAGACGGAATCGTACACGAATCAAATCCTCTGATTTTCTTGACGAGTTTCTCAGAATCTTTTCTCGTCGAGAAAATTTTGTGGAATATATTTGATCTCGCGATATCCACGCTGTTACATTTTTTCACCGAATACATAGGTAAGTGACGTGAATTCTTGCAATTTTTCAATTTTCGCACTGTCAATAGGCTCGCGCGCGCCCGGATTCCATCGACGGTATCGAGGACTTCCGGCACCCTGAGAGTCGGCACCGTTGGTTTTTTATATTAGTATAATCGCAAGCTACATTTTTCATATAGGTCATTTTGGTCTGGGAGAAAAAGGTAGTTTAGTACGATTTACCACCCCAAGTAGTCGCGGTGCCGAGGGTTGCGGCAAGTTGCGCCCCGGCACCGTGACTTTTACCGATAAAACTCATCCATATGCACCCTTTAGTACTCATCCTGAACGTCCGGTACAATAATGGATAGATTTTCCAAAAATAAGGGGCGGATTTAATTTTTTTTAAATTGCTTTCGGCAGGTTTTTCGCCGGCACCGTTGTCGATTCTAATACAAGTTTTTATGGCGAATCCTATGAAAATTATTAGAATCGTCCGGGCGTTCAATTCAATGTATACTTTCCTACTGGGCTCTTGAACTAATTTGAGAATGATTCATTTTTAAAATCGAGTGGTTTATCGACTAATAATTTGGGGTGTGTAATAAAGCTTGAATCATTTCTGGAGCAACAAAGTCTCTGAAATGGCCAACCGTGGATGATTTTTGATCTTTCTTAAAGTGTATGGAATAAATTCATCACAAACTTTTGTGCAAAACATCGTGAAGAATGGTCCGAATCCGAGTCCGAATCGTCTATCGATTGATGTTCAGAGCCCTTTCCAATTATGAAATTTCATCGATTGAAAGCTGGAGTAGAAAGAACTGTCATTTATTTTTTTTTATTTTTTTATTTTATTAATTTGCTTGAACGTAGGAGCATTAAAAGTAAGAAAAAAATACATTTCTAATTAAAAATCGATGGTCGCACTAATTGCTGAGATATGGCGCCAGTCTTAAAAATTATTTGTCGCGCTGTGGAAGTATTTCACGGTTAGTGATTATAACGGAAATTTGTCTTCGTAAAGAACTATCGACGAAAACTGTACTTAGTTAGCCTCCTTTTAACTCATCCGCTAATTAGTAGGTTAAAGCATGATTTTTAAGAAATTACTTTTTCTACTCTAATTGCTATAAATGCGGCGACTAAGACTAGCACTCGACAGAATAAGGGTTAGAAATTCAGGTACAACCTGCTCAAACCGAAATGTTTATAGGATTCCTAACTCTAAGGTTAAAGCTCTTCTCCATTTAGAATAAATGATTATAATTTCATAAGTTTAATATGAAATTCATTCGTTCATTCATGCGTTCCTGAAATGCGCGTTAATATGTGCTAGTATTTCTGTATGACTTATCTGCTGAATTCTTTGAAGTTCAGCGCCCATTTCGAGCGGTTTAAGAGTTCTGTGTCAATTAAATGAGAGGGGTGATATTAATTTAGCATATACGCATTTAAATGTGGTTCAGTGTTGACATCTCACTTTCTCTGAGCGTGTTGTGAAATTGACTAGAATTTAACACAACTTTTAGTGAAAATAATTTTTTACAATATACCCAAAGTTTTCTACTTCATAAAGTCGGTTTACATGACGCTTAAAATCGACGAAACGTCAAATTCCATAGTGAACGGATCAGCATCCTGTCATGCTCCATTAGTTCTCGGTCGATTGGAATGGACCGTAATGGTTTGATACTTCTACAACTGGCCCTAAGTGCACCATCTTGGAGTACAAAAAATGCAACCTCTAACAAAACAATAACGCCATTTTACCCTCAATGTTTGTGGTTTAATCGTTTCCATTTAACACGTATAGGGATCCAATTAAGTTGTGATAGGTCCACCATACGCATCCATTTGGTGACAAATCGATCGGTTGCTAGTGTCGTTGAATTGAGATACCTATTGTAACGAACAATGCAGCAATTCTAATTGTGAGAAATTGAGATTGGCTTGCTTCAAATGAGTAGCAATATAGAATTTAAGTCGAGTATTTAATATTGACTTGCTCAAAATAATCTGTCATTGTGAGATAATTGGGTTTACAAAAAGTATTAAAAGCGAGATTAAAAGCATAATGGACTTTTCTATCTCCAAATGCATCATTAAATTATTTTCTCTAATAATTGGTGGTAGGTTTGCTTCTTAGTTTGATGGACTAAATAGAGATATTCTGCATAATTCAAATTCATGTAGGTCAAGCGCTTCAATTACAAAATACGCATACTCATACTGAACAATATTATACGATGTGTGGTTTAAAGTCGTGCGCTCTAAACTAGTAATTTTAGTTTACACAAAGGCTAAATTTGGAATTGAATAATACGATTGATTTAAAACCTGCGTATTCAACACGTATTGACATTAAACTACGAGTAATAAATAAAAAGTAATCAGTACATTATGCTTCACTTATATTTCCTTTGAATAGTAAAAATGTTCGCGAAACTAAAGTCAACCATTATTATCAATTATGCTCTCACTTGATCAAAGTGTGTAGAGCCTTATGTTTAACTTTGACGCTTCCTATAACAGATCTGGCAACTGTCCGAACGTTGATTAATAATTAAATAAAAATAGAATCTTTTACACGCAATACCAGTTTATAATTTCGCAGGCAGAGACAGAAAGGTGACATCTTTTTATACGAATCAATGTCATAATTTACTTAATACCAATCAGTTCTTTCATATATAAAGGGCGCAGCGGTATAGCCAATGAATCAATTAATCATAACCATTAATATCACTCACCACAAATTGTCAGGATCATATAGGCCTCTAACAGTATTTGGTCCCCATGGCTGCTCTCGGCTTGGTCCACTGTAATTACCAGAAATACAAGGAGCACCTTTGTCTTGCACCCAGCTACAGCTACCCTAATCATGTTACACAGCAACACTCAAACATGCTACACGTAGCTATCTTCCTGTGCAATCCCTACCTTCGTGCGTGGAACTAAACGAGGATCTGCAAGAATCTTTAACACGTCACGCCCATTTCGGCACAAACAAAAGATTAGTCACCTCTACAGGACCACCGTATCTATTCTCCATGCCTCCCAACGCAGGTCGAGGAGGATGTAGCTCCCGTGAGTGAAGGAAGGCATTACTCAACGCCAGACCAACACCACCAGCAAAAGACATGGAACTGGGCTTGTACTTGTACTGGTAGTCTCAAGGAAAGGGTACGCCTTTACCATTTTATGTAAAAAAAGCCTAATTAAATTCATACAATAAATTATGCAAGCAGATGCACTCACCTTAGTAATGTAGATTAATCCAAAATCAAGTGCACTTAACAAAACACAAAATCATCCTGACCCAAATTTCCCCTTGGGAATTCGGATTTGAAATACTGATTAACTTACCCCCTAAGTTCGCTTTGGGTTGACGGTTTTATTGGTTTCTAGGTAAATTATTGCATACAAATGTGGGAAAAGAAACACGTGTTGTATTAAGACGAACAAGAGCTCTATTGATAAGTTTTATATTTTGTACAACAGCAAAAAAATACGTATTACACAATAATAGTCAAACTCACGCTGGAAGGCAATAATGTATAGTATAAATAATAAATAAATAATAATAATTCAAAGAAACTGTCTTGATTGATTGAAATGAAAATAGACCCATTAGTTTCAGTGTTATTGTTGCTAATTTATTTTAACCGTTGAGTGCAGGATTCACTCAACGTTTTGGTTATTTTTCTTTGTGTATACTCAACTGGTAATTAATTAACGATAACGTAAACGATTACAAGGAAAAGTGCAACAAGCTTATTTTGCGACTTACCTCTTTTAAGCGAAACATCAAATTTACTTTATCTCAAAGCTTCAAGCAATTACGAAGTTTAAAGTAATTAGTTTTAATTGACTTGGAAGTGTTGAAGGTTTGTGGTCGACACCTTTCATTTACTTAGATTTAAATTTGCCGTTTGCATTTAAACCTTTTACGTCTTTTTGGTAAATCTAAAGGACTACTGCATTGCTGGAGCTTTACTCGTCTTTTCTGGGCATAGATCTAAAAAAATAAAACAGTGAAATCGATACACAAGTTAAATAAATCGACACTATCATTTATTTGAGAATACTTCGTCGGATTTTACGTATAATTAAACTTAATATAAACATTCCACTCATTTTGAATTAATCATTTGTCAACGTTGCTTGCAGTAATGGGAAGCATTGTATGTTTAAATGTGCCTAAACGTTGCCTTGTGATTATTCTAATGAACCCGTTTCTACTTCCTTACTTACTGGAAGCCTGTTATGTAAATAACTTTTTCTACTCCTATGTCGTAAACATACCCAAAATGTCACCCTGTACTGCACGTCTAAATCGTTCATTATATCATACGGTTGCATAATGAAAATTAGAACTGTTACTTAATATATATATATTACGTAACAGGTTAAAGGTCAAACGCGAAATGTTAATTTAGTAGGTTGTCAGCCCTGCCTAATGAATGAAGTAACGTCAGATATTGTTGTTGTAGGTTATGTTTCACATTTTGTAAACTTCTTTGAACAGAATTACTCATAATTTGTTTAAACATTGCCATTTGTATGAGAATGGAGAATGGAGCCTGTACGTAATTTATTAGCCGTGCCCAATTATTTTTCATAATCGTAATGGGCTACTCAAGAATGGTTTGAAGCTGCGTTCAGTTAATTAAGCAAACTCTGTTGCTACTATTTTGTATTTTAGAAAACTACAATAAGTACTCGAAGAATTAATGGATGGTGCCAATTACGACTTGCATGGAACACGGAATAATGCACTTTAGAATACTGGGTAGTCCGATGCTTCCTTCCCGGGAAAACTCGTTAAAAGACGCAGCGTTTTGAAGGCCTTAGTATTATCGATAGTTAGGTACCTAATACATTGGCAACTACAACAATAGAAATCGTTCAAAACTGTAATGAAAAAGAGCACAAACACCACCTGAGCTGGTTAGGTAGTAATCTTCAACTTCAACACTTGTATCTTGTATCCTATTGGCTATTGCATCTATGGTGCTAAAATGAAGCTCACATTGCAGTAAGGAATAGGGATGTCAAAACCCTGCAATACACTTCCAATCTAAGTAAAAAGTATTTATAAAATTCTTGCTCGCTGCGTGCATTCATGGAATATAAGTGAGGTTACGTTGTATTTTGTATTCCTTTTAAATAGACCATGACATTTGACACTTGACAGTTCTAATTTTTAGTTCGAAGTTCGAATATTTAGAACCAAATCAATCGTAATCTATCAATCTTTTATCAATTATATTCAAGTCGTAGAAAAATTATAGTACATAATTCGAGTGCTAATGCCTATTACGCACTCGATTTTATTACAACACTCGCTCGCTGCGCTCGCTCGTGTCGCAAAATACTCGTGCGAAATAGGCTTCTTAGCACACTTATTATGCAATATACTATTATACATGTCATATAGTAACAAACAACGCTCCCATAATTAAGGTATGTTGTCTGTACCAACGTACATAAACAAATCTATGAAAATACACAGCACCTGGAATTATAGCCATTCCCAAATATAGTTCCTGTATTGCGATTGTTTACGGCACAACTTGTGATGAAAATACACCTCATACTTCGCGTAAAGTTTATCCTACACCTCATTTCCACAAAAATAAAAAATGCGCTGTTGTGGTCACTTTGTCCATTCGTCTGTTCGGCCTTTTACGGCTGTGAAGCTCTTCGGTCCCTTTACTGTAGCTTAGTTCGGTCCAAATTCGAGTACTGTTCGCTAATTTATCATCCCACTTACAATACACATAAATCTGCATTGGAGGCCATACAGAGAAAATTTTTAAAATATTTGTATTATAAAACCAACGGTACTTACCCTATAAGAGGTTTTCATCATGATGAATTATTGACAATGTTCCAGTTTCGTTCCCTTGATACTATGAGAATTCTTAGCGGTATCACATTCCTGTTTAACCTGATTCATAATCATATTGATTGTCCCGAACTCCTAAACCATGTATCATTTAAAATACGTCATGGTGCAAATCGTCACACAAATACATTTCATTACCCTATTCCTCGAACTGAGATCCTGTTTAGTTCACCTATCATTTCAATTTGTCGAAAGCTTAATTCAGTATGCCGGAAGTGTGATATACATTTTAGTAGCTTACCGACAATATTAAGGCATATTTCACAATAAAGTATGTTGGACAATAAATGATTATTACTAGATCTTTATCTTTTTTTTGCTATTTGGTTTGTTATGTGTCAAGGCTTGCACCAAGGAACGACCCTTCTGAAATTTTACAGTAGGATTATTCTTATAAAATGAAATTGAAGTAGAGTAACACATTAAAAATGGATTGCACATCTGCAACGCTAACTTTCTTATTTGTGAACGGAGTTTTCTGAAAATTTTACTGAAGATGCTTGAAACTTGAAACTTTGACATATGCCTGGCGTCGCCGCCTCTCCCAGGATTTAGTCAACTGTCGTGAGGATGCGTCCCTGGTAGGCACTATCAGGGACGTTTCATCACTATACTGGTAGGCACTATCAGGGACGTTTCACCACTACTTTGTTGCCATCGCGCTGGGCCGCGACATATGCCAAACAATGTGGTGGAGTTTGTGGATTGGGGGGGTTGTGGGGGGGCGGCTAACTGGGTGTTATCCGACCCGAACGGGTACGGCCACAGCTTCGCCACTGGTATTCTGCCTTAGAGGGAACTCTGCTTTCTAGTGATAGCTTCTTCTTCGGGCGTTCATTTGTTTCCGATGTTCCTATTCTTTGGTATCGTTCCCTTCCCTGTTTTTCTCCCCTGTTCTTCCTCTTTTTATTATCCTCTGCCTGCGTTATTTTCTGTGGCTCCCTCTTCCTCCTCCTCTTGGCTACTGGTGCTTATGTCTGATTCTTCCTCCAGCATTCTTCTGCTTTTTTTCTTCATTTGATGCTTGTCTCTGCTCCACTCTTCCCTTCTTCCCATGGGAATCCCCGAGGCCGTTACCGTTTGGTCTATGGCGGTGTTCCACGTGAAGCAGGGTCGACCTACCTTCTATTCCGAGGCACATAGATTCTTGGCAGCCCGTAGGATATAGTCTTTGTTCCTCCTGTTTATATGTCCCCAGTATCTAATCTGCCTCATCTTCAGTCTCCTGGTGATCGTCTTTTCCTCTAGTAATTCCCTTATCTGCTTTCTTGTAGGGTTGCTGTTTTCCATCAGTATCCTGAGTGCCTTTCGCTCCGCCCTCCTCAAAGTTAGTCTGTTACTTCTTGTTAGCGCTGAGGTGTTAACTCCGTATAAGATTGTCGGTGCTATGATCGTGTTGTAAATCATCATTTTCAAGCTGTCCGGTATTTTCTTCTCTCGTATGAAGTTCCGAATTCCATGTGTGATTCTGAATGTGTTGGTTATTCTGTCTTTCACTGTACTGTGCCTGCTGAGTGTGCTGCTTATGTACGCTCCCAGTTATTTAATCTTGTGCTTCATAGTTATCTCCTTCCCGGCTATTGCGATCTTGTCTCCTTCTTTATACTGGGTGTTGCTTCTTGGGTCCCTTATCATCATGTAGCTCTTTTCGTTGTTTATTTGTGAGTCGACCATTTCCAGGTATACCTCGCTGGTTTGGACGAAGTCGTCAATGTCTTCTAACTTACCCGCGATTACGAGTAGGTGGTCCGCGTACGCCAGTAGTGTCGGTAGTTGTAATTGGTCGCTTGTGTTGGATATACTCTCGCTTTTTTCTTCAAATTTCTCCACCTCAATGCCTCGGCACTTCTTGATTACGATTGCCGCACCTCTGCTGGTTCTCTCCTACTTACCTCCACCTATCCACTAGTCGTAGTTCCTTGTCGCAGCCATCCCCCTTGCTACTTTGGTTTCTTGTAGACTGGCTACATCTGTTCCTTGTTTCCTTAATTCATCGTCAATTAGCTGCCTTTTCCTTGGGTCGCTTGCCCCTTGCACATTCCACGTGGCTATCCTCATGCTGCTGTCTCCTTCAATATCTTGACTCTTTCCGGACACCATACTAAGACTGTATTCGTTAGGGGCATCGGCTCCTCTCGCTTCTTCGCATTCGTCTAACACTCGCGTTCGTCGGTATTCCTCCTCTTCATCTTCTAACTCCCCTATCATGTTGTCTGCCCGCATCACGCTAGCATAGTGGTTCCGGACATTACTACTCCCTAATTTGTATGCTAGGTGGCAGTGACCTGTGGCTCTCGTTGTTGCTCTTGACAACATATTATAATTATTGTGATACTGCACCACCATGTGTGATATATCGTTGTAACGAGAAAAAAAAGACGTAATCTGAAAATGTCGAAACTTAAAATAGCGCCAATAGGAAAAACTAAAGACGTGTTTCTCCGTCATCTTAAAAGTTATTAAAAATATAATGCCATATTCGAAATCTCCATTAAAAAGTGTCTGAATAATGTGTTAATTATAAATGTCTAATATGATTAGTTTACCATGAAAAAATTAAAAACGAAAATCTAAATTTTTAACGGGTAGAGTCCTTTAAACTAAAAGCACCGTGTTACCCTCAAGATTTTTTATAACACTGAAGCATCTTTTATCCGAATTCGTCTTTTATTAATACTGTGCGATCAAAAATGAGTTGCTGTCGAGTCACCTTTGGAACTTTTGTTTACATGGGAAATCGCACTTAACTTAAACTTCCAAAGGCGCCTCGACAGCAACTCATTTTTGATCGCCCGTTATTTTATTATGAGAGAAAAATGTTTCTCAAGGTTGGCGTAGGTAGTAACTATGGTAATAGCATCACAACATTCGGTACGAAAAATTAAGCAGCGCACTTTAAATTGTGTATAAAGGACCTTGCGATTGACGACGTACTTTATAAGAAACAATGAATTTTATAGGTAACTTAAGAAACGAGTTTAAATGAATCTTAGAAACGGTTAGAATGTCAGTGTTGTGTTATACAAATACTTTAAACATTAAAAACATGTAATTGATATTATAGCCAGAAGATGACCGTTGGTCGAAACTAGCCGCTTTATGTCATTTTATAATTAAAATTAGTATAGGGGAGGTTTTGTGTTTAATTTAATGATTCAATTTTACATCAACCCCATTTCGAGTTCATCACACCATGTATATCACCGATTCAAACGTTACATAGTTCGATACGCACATTCAGTCTGTTTTCTGTGCTGTTTTTATTTATCAAAACCGATCAGTAGTTCCGGAGAAAACTCCATTTACTGAATCTACAGAGCCAACAGGCAACAGTAATAATTATTCTAAAAAAACAGAAAAAATTTAGTTATCAGTCTATTAGGTGTTCGAAATGACCACCACCAATTAACAATTTCCATGGAACATTAAAGATATTCAATTTACGACATTAAATCCTTGTATTTCTCGTTTATTCTCTTCATAGCCTTACATGAAAAACCCTTGGAATTTAATTCAATTCATATTTACAATCGAATACAAAGGAATTGTTGCCATGCTTTTATGTCACATATTTTGTGTAGTTCGCTGCACTCTACGCTTAATGTTTTCAATTTTTCTATTCTCGTTTTATGAATACCTTCTATCATAGTGTAAGTTACACTAAGCTTCTGCTTCTATCTATCACTTACCCCGCAAACACCATTCAAGTTCATTGACTGCTCAGCTGAGTTATAGCATTGAATGGTTATAGGTATCGTAAGTGGTAAGATGTCCCAATTAAAAGTTATACTCCTAATAAATGTTAGAATGAGTATGCTACAACAGCAATGATCAACTTTTAAGTTAAACTAGACTTTCTTTTCAAAGAATTTTTGTGTGTGATGCTTTTGTTGCCGAAAATAACCGTTAAGACCTTATGTAGATTCTTAATTTTGTTTGCGATAAATTCATTCAATTGCCCAAGCTTGTTACAAAATATTCCATACGAAGAATTGCGTCAAAACATTCATGCATTGATTATGTTGGTTGGCAACCCAAACACTCACAGATGATTTACTTAAATCCAAATACTTTGAAATATCAATGGAAATTGAAACGAAAATTGGATAAAATCCAAAGATAAAATGTAATGACTTTTATGAGATTCAAAAACTAAGTCTCATAATGATAGTTTGGGACATTCCGTATAGAAATAATATCTCCATCAAAATGTAATATGGAAAAATGAACCAAAAGTCTTTTCTTGGAAACGTGTAACCAATAACCTAATACAAAACACATAAAGAAATGTGAATTAATCACAATATTGGGATAGGTGAATCTACATTTTCAGTTTATAAAAAAAATTAGACACCTTGCTATATCGTTACAAAATTTAATCGGTTTCCCCAGTAAAGAATAAATTCGAGGAAGGTTTTCAACATAAATCATCAAATGCGATTATACACTACGGCAGCAGTCCGGAAATTTCACGCAAAGGAAAGATAACTTCATTACAGTTTAACAATATAGCACCGCAATCTGCATATGGTATTTTCTTAATCCCATGAATTAATGATCAGCACGCTGCTGTAACCCTTTTTGTTTGCTAACATTAAGATAATCACTCTAGGCGACGCGACTTAATGGCGTTTGTGTTTTATCTTTGTAGGTACTAAATTTTCAAACAGCGGAATAAAATTATAGCGAAATGAATAGGAACCATTTTTGTCATTTTTCTGCTTTGGAGAATCCTGTACGTATGAGTTATTGAGGAAACGTATTGTATTGTATATGCACATGCTATTTTAAATTTACCTCGAAATTTACTATCGTTTTCTTAATACTATTTAATTTTAAAGGAACATTAAATAAATTACTTATTATAAAAGACGATAAAGGAATGTTTCCCCTTATCATCGTGTAAAATATATACAGAACTTTATGTTATAGCAGAAGCCATACAAATCATTATAAAACTTTTGAAAATTTGTAAGTAGTGATTTAGACGTCCAAAATAGCTAGCTTAGGTTCTGCCGTTTGTATTCTGTACTGAAATTCATTTTACTTCGTGTTTCGCGTCCAGTTTTTAATAAGAATTTGGAATGCACAATGATTATTTCACTTTATCAACCCTTGCGTTAAAGTGATTACTTTATCTACCTTTATGGTTAAAAAGACACTAATGCCCGTTTGCACCGACAAACTTAAGCAACCATTGTCTCAATAATCGTTGCCATGGATTTTAAGGGACGCTTAAGCTAAGCTCCGCTTAAATTTGTCGGTGCAAACGGGCATTAGTCTACTTATTCAAACCTATTAAAATGTCAATTTAACATATGCAATAAAATAAATATATTTATTTAGACAGTGGGTAACAATTCATCAGCATCAGTTAAGAGAATAAAACATCTTATTAATTATAATTATGTAACTCAATTCTTATCTTTGTTTCAGATGTGCAGCAGTAGAAGGGAGGAACGGATGGGTAAGTTAACAAGTACTCCTTCACATGCTCATAATAATAATACGGAGGGTTACAAATAGAGATGATTCATAGTAGATATCCTTTTTTAGCGCATTTCCACAAAAATAAAAAAAAAATGCGCTATTGTGGCCACTTTGTCCGTCCGTCCGTCCGTCCGTCCATCCGTCCGCTAACTTTGCGACGCTACTAGTTTTTTATCTTAAGAGCTATTGTTCTACTTTTTTCGCTATTTGGTTCGTTATGGTGTCGAGTCTTGTACCAAGGAAGGAATTTTTTCTGTACCGCTGACAAAAAAAGTTATTGTAAAAAAAACAAAAAACCGTTTTTTACATGTTCCATAATTTTACACTTTTGCCGTTTATTAACGATCCTAGAGATCGTTTATAATTTTTCATTGCTATCTGTCGCCTGCCGGTTGGTCTCTCCGTCTGTTCCTTTGTCTGTCTGTCCATCTATCTGTCCGTGTGAACGATAACTTTGTTTAGAAATGTTCGAACGCTTTTACATCTCCGTGAGTTATGAACTGAATTGCATGAAATTCAATATGGGCATAGATTTAGCCATATAATACGCAATGCCAAAAGTTGGATCGAATCGATTCAAAATTCACATTGCCCTTTTCGCATCTCGACCATTTATAAACCGAATTGCAAACTTTTTTACTTATAAAAGTATTTGAATGAAATTTGATACATAGGCACTTGTAATAAACGAAAATCAAACGCCAATTTCAAAATTTGGTTTTGCGCATGCGCAGTGGCAACTTTTTTATTTATGGAAGAATTTAAACGAAATTTGATACATAAGCACTTCGAATAAAGGAAAATCAAACGCCAATTTCAAAATTTGGTTTTGCGCATGCGCAGTGCCAACTTTTTTTATTTATGGAAGAATTTAAGCGAAATTTGATACATAGGCACTTGGGATAAAGGAAAATCAAACGCCAATTTCAAAATTTGGTTTTTGCGCATGCGCAGTGCCAACTTTTTTATTTATGGAAGAATTTAAACGAAATTTGATACATAGGCACTTGGGATAAAGGAAAATCAAACGCCAAATTCAAAATTTGGTTTTGCGCATGCGCAGTGCCAACTTTTTTATTTATGGAAGAATTTAAATGAAATGTGATACATAGGCACTTGGAATAAAGGAAAATCTTGCGCCAGTTTCAAAATTTTATTTTGCGCATGCGCCGTGCCAACTTTTTTATCTATGGAACTATTTAAGTGAAATTTGATACTTAGGCGCTTGGTACAAAGGAAAATCTTAGTTTATTAGTTAGTTATAGTAAATTAGTTTTAAAATTTAGGTTTGCGCATGCGCAGTTCCAACTTTGTTATATAGAAAAGCATTGAAATGAAATTCTTCTCATAAACTGAAATTGAAGTAGCACGTCAACAATGGATTGCCCATGTGCAACGCTATCTTTCATATTTGGGGCCGGATTTCTACGATTTTAACAGAAGTTGCATCTTACAAATGGGAAATGAATGCAAGTGGAAATGCGCTTTATGTAAATCGTTTACGATTACTTTTTAACTTGTTTTATTTCGCGGCGTTGGTGAAGTATTTCTGAACTATATTTATACTTTTTTAATTTTCAGCAAGCTCAGGTAAATTATTAGGAGATAATCTCTTTCATTCCCTTTTTCACGGGTATTTAATTATAGTCAATAATGTGTAATCAAAATTTAGACCAAATGTTGCTCCAATATGGGTGGAGGAATTATGTAACATTCACAATTCGGTGTATCTATTCTTAACTATTCTATTATTATCTATCAACGGAAGTAATGAAAGAAATTACATCTCTTTGTAATAAAATCTACGAAAGTGGGCTGTGGCCAGAGGACATTCTCTGTTCCGTGACTCTACCTAAAAAGCAAGATGAAAAAAATGTTCAGAATATAGAACAATCCAGTGACACATAGCAAAGATCTTATTGAAAATGTTGAATAGAAGGCTTAACAAAGTTATGGAGGAGAGAATATAGGAGAGGAACAGTTTGGTTTCATAAGGGGAATGGGCGCGAGAGACAGAATAGGAGTGGTGAGAATGATCGGAGAAAGATATTTGTAAAAATAAAGGCATTTTGTGTAGCTTTTGTTGACATTCTAAAGGCATCTGATTGGGTAAACAGGAAGAAATTGTTGGATGTGATAAGGAGGAAATGTGTCAACTGAAGAGAAGACGACTTATACGACACTTATATATGAAACAAATAGCTAAAATCAGAGTTGACTGTAAAAAAACGGATTAGTTTGATATCGGAAGAGGACTTAGACAGGGATGCTGTTTATCACCAACTCAGTTTAATTTATATTTAGGATACATGGCGGAAATGTTAGAAAATGGGAAAATATGGCCTGAATATTGGAGGGAAGAGGATTGTTAGTACCTATACGATTTGCGGATGACATTGCTGAGAGTGGAAAGGAACTTGAGATATTGTTAAAAGAAATAGATGAAATGAAAACAGTATGGCATAAAACAGTACGGCATAAAACACAAATTTTAGCTGTTGTTGGAGGTTTGTTTGATAACGGAATCTGCTGCTATCTGCTTTTAAATGGCCACTACAAGCGTCAGCAGGAATGTTTAATCCGAAATGAGATAAATCGGCAACGCAAACCTAATTTTTTTACCTCTAAGCCGACGTAGAAAAAATGGATTGGTGTACTGACATGTAAAATTATAGCCCTTAAAAAAGGCAAATTGAACTGCTCCCAAACCAACAGCCCCATTATATTAGTAAATGTGTAATGACTCCGCAGTTCATTATTAAAATAATAAAATTTTTGTTCATCGCAAACATAATGTAACGGAAACGCTCCAGACATGACGTCGCCTTTGGCGCTCTGGAATTTTCTAGGCGCGCGATAGTGGGAATGTTTGCAACGTATCTGGTAATTACGCGAATGTTCTGGACTTACATTGCTTGCGTGTATAAATGGTTGCGGACCGAACATCGCGGCAGTTTTACTATCGAACGAGATCGAGTACGGACGAAACATTGAGCGCGAAAATCTGATATAAATTGCGAAGTGTGTAATATAAATGGTCGATATAAATTGTACAGTTTTTGTAGTGTTTTGTTTAATAAATATTGATATAAATCGAACCCGAATTTATAAATCACGTTACAATAATCAACCCTATTTTTGTGTAGATACTCCGACTGCCAGCTGAAGCATTTTAAATGTAAAAATGCGAAATCGCATGATAGTAGAATCATTGACCATAAAATATGGTGCAAGAATTAGAGTGTACTGTACATTTGAATGTATCTGTTAACTATTCTTTTGTCTTTTGTCATTTTCCGTCTCTCATTTTTATACTTTTAAGGCTCGGCGCACACACCCGATTATTCAACGTGCGGTGCCGGAGTTGCGTTACTGGATACCTTCAGATATATCGTGCAATGCACATTATAGTTGTCCGGCACCGTTGCGGTACCGTACGACCAGCGTGCGTCAGTTTCCTACCGCAGTTCCCTAAGAACCCTCAACCGTGACGCGCTCGATGTATATTCACCACTTTCAATACTAGGTAGGTCATCGACTTGCATTATTAACGAGCTCCTAGCGAGTTTATATAATTTTGCCTTGTCTGTTCGTCTGTCTGTCTGTTAACATGATATCTCGAGAATAATTACGATACAATTTTGCCGATGGATTCAAATTGGATTCGTGAATTGGCAATTTAGGCCAAAAAATAAGGAGGGCAATCTCCGTTATATATGAACCGAATTGCAGGAAGTTCAAAATGAGAATAGCTTTAGCCATATAATACGAAACACCAAGCTATAACCATACCCAGGAGCTCGTTTCCTATATCCATGATTCAAGAATAATTATATCGCAAAGTAGTATTATTTTTCAAAAGTGAACTGTAAAAAAGCAGAAGGGATTGAAGTCTGAATATTAGAATGTTCTCTTGCGTGCAGGGTCTGAATAATTTATGGAAACGTCCGACAGCTTTGTATAAATGGGAGCACAACCGTAATATTAGTAATGCATGTAGGTAAGTGGAGAAACCGCCGTTGGCTATCAAGTCAGCTAAAAACTTAGAAGTGGACGTTTGTGTTGAGGCATCTAGAAATAAATTTTTCATTTTATCCAGGAAATTTCTGCGCTGAATTTAATATGTTGTTATTACAAAGCTTTGATGCTATTATAGGGAGATTAAATTTTCAAAGTTTGATTACCTGCCGTATATTAACATTTTTCTATCTTCGTACTTGGATATATAATAATAATAATAATAATAATAATGCATTTATTGAAAACAACTTAATATAATGTTCAATGTTCAAGATAAAAATAAAGAAAAATAAAATCATACATGATGTTCGAAGAGAACAGAGAACTTAAGAACTGCCTCACTTGTTGTTCCCAAATGGAGTGAGTTCAAGCAACTACTAAGTAGCAGCTTGGTCTTCCACTCAACCCAGTTTGATTACTAAATAACATTAATTATGGCATTACGAGTGAAAAATAATATTTTTTAACGGGACAAATAAATTATAATAAAAACAGAAGCTTATCAAGATTAATTTTTATTTAAGAGGTGTATTGATTAAGTAGATATAGTTTATGTAGTTGAATTTTGAAATGTTGTATAGGAAGTTCTTTAATTTCAGGAGGTATTGAATTATAAACTTTAGACGCGTTATAACTAAATGATCTTTCATACAAGGATGTTTTATGAAGCGGTGTTATAACTAAATTTTTATGTCTCAAGAAAAAATCACGTATGTTATGCCGAAATCGAAGCTTATTGAAAAGATACTGTGGTGTTTGGCGAGTAATGACTTTATGATATAAGCAAGCCGAATGCAGCATTCTTCTATTTTTCATATTCAGCCATCCTATTTCATTCAGTTTGCCACCAATAGAATTAAATTTTCGAATACCAAATATTAACCTTAGACACGAGTTTTGGATGCGTTGTATTCGTCTGCAGTCGACGGAAGTTAAACAAGGACCGTACACACAATCACAATAATTAAAATGAGATAGGACAAGCGACTCGCAGAGTATTATTTTTTACTTTTTTAGTTAAGCAAGACCGATTTTGATAATTTGTTTTA